TCAATTAGTGGTTATAACATTTTCCGAAGGAATCGCCCTTATCGACGTGGAGGTGGGCTTTGTGTTTATCTCTCTGAGCATATCCATGCTAAGCGTCGAACTGACCTTGAAAGCGACAATCTTGAGTGCTTGTGGCTTTGGCTACGCCCCACTCGCCTACCTAGACCCCTCTCAGGCATTGCGGTCTGTGTCGTCTACCACCCACCTGGGTTGCCCGAACATGAACATTACCTCCTAAATGAATATTTAACCAATAGCGCGGATATTCTATGCAACCAATATCCCAATTGTGGTCTTGTTTTCCTAGGCGATTTTAACGATTTCCAAACAGCGAACCTTTTATCAAGACATAACTTAAAGCAATTGGTCCAGGCTCCCACGAGAGGCTCGGCTATTCTAGATCTCATAATTACCAACCTATCAAACCTTTATGAAGCCCCCCAAGTTCTAGCCCCACTTGGATCCTCAGATCACAATATTGTCACATGGTCTCCTGACTTAACGAAGTCAAACCCAAGTTTGCACACCAAGTCTATTAAACGTCTGGTACGTCGATACCCTCGATCTTGTATTGACGCTTTTGGGAGATGGGCTACAAGCCACGATTGGTTCAGTGAACTTGGGCCTACAGCCACAGTTGATGATCTAACAACATCTTTTACATCACAATTTGTGCAAGCAATTGACCGTATATTTCCTCCTAAGTTGGTAAAATTCCACCACTCCGATAAACCTTGGGTAACACCAGCCATTAAAACCCTCATAAGAGTTCGTCAGAAAGCATTCCATAGCAGGAATAATCCCCTTTGGCTCTCACTAAGACGCAAGGTCCAATACGAAATAACGGAAAGAAAAAAGTCTTTTTATAAGAACAAAGTTCAGCATCTAAGAAACACCGACAGTCGTAGATGGTGGAAAATGGTCAACAAAATGTCCGGTAAACCTGAGAAAACAAAATCTTTCTCTTTAGAACGTAACGGGGAAACTCTGAACGACGAACAACTAGCAAGTGCCCTTAATTAATTTTACGTCTCTGTCAAACGCGGATATTCCGACATTTGATGTAAATTTACTGCCCGCATTCTTACCGGCTAACGACGCCTTTTTATCCGTTTAACCTTACGAAGTCTGTCAAAAATTATTGGCTCTTCAACCTTATAAAGCAACAGGACCTGATAATGTACCAAGTCGATTTCTAAGCTAGCCGATCCAGTTACCACCATTTTTAATGCATCCCTTTCCTCTAGCGTCGTCCCGAGTATTTGGAAAGAATCCAATATCATTCCAATCCCGAAGGTACAACAACCCGAATGTGAAGGAGATACTAGACCAATATCGTTGACTTCTTGCCTCTCCAAACTGCTGGAAGACTTTGTTGTAAGTTGGCTAATTGACGACGTCAAGGGAAAGATCGACCCCTGCCAATTTGGCTGTTTGAAAGGAACGTCGACCACCTATTGCCTCCTTGATATGCTCCACTCTTGGCTCTCGCATTTGGACTCGGACTCCAACGGTAAACACATTCGTATTAGCTTTCTCGAAGGCTTCGACCGCATTGGATACAATATTCTCATTGAAAAACTGCTAGACCTGGGCGTTAGGCGGTCTTTAATACCCTGGATTATAAACTTTCTTTGTGATCGAAGACAACGAGTTAAAATTGGAGAATCCTTTTCAAGCTGGCTCCCAGTGACACCTGGGGTCCCTCAATGGACTAAACTTGGTCCAATATTGTTCCTCATTATGATTAATGATTTGAGAGTAAATTCCCCAGGCACGAAAATGTGGAAATTTGTAGACGATGTCTCATCTTCTGAAAATCTAACATCGAACAGTTTCTCGGCCACTCAGTCAACTCTTGATTCTATCATTCATGGGCAACTTACAATTGTATGAAATTGAATGCCAAAAAGTGCAAAGAGCTCCGAGTTTCCTTTCTTAAAGAAACCCCGCAGCTACCATCTTTGACAATTGATAGGCACGTGCTAGAAACAGTACAATCGCACAATGTGTTGGGTTTAATTATTCAAAACAATCTTACAGTCAATTTCAGCTGACTTTTCATCGTAAGATTCCGAACTTCGTTCCGAACTTCGCAAATTCGTTGCCAAGTTCAAAAGTTCATAATGAAATTCACAAACAGGTTTGTAAACTGGGCATTTGATTGGCTGGTTTGATTTAATAGTCAATCAGAGGCTTTGTTTACAAACCTGTTTGTGAATTTCATTATGAACTTTTGAACTTGGATAGATAGATAGATAGATTGTTTAATAATTCACTTTTTGCAGTACAAATACTGAACTGGTAAGCGATTACAATATAAATAAGACTGAATACAAATTATATTACATTTAAAAAATTACAACCTATGCTATGGCTTACTAAGAAGATTATAAATATTAAAACTAACACTAATTTGTTGAATTACGATTATTTATGTCTAAACAACTAGCGATGACATACGAATTCTTAAAACGTTCAGTATAGAATTTCGGAACATGTATCTTCTTGTTGTTTCGTAATTGGTAATTTAATGAAGTATCTATTTTAGGGATTAAATTATGAAGTTTATGGTTCGGGTTATTTAAAATTTGATTAAAAAGTTTATTGCAGGCAATTTGCCTTCTAGCGTACAATGACTCCATCCCAGCTTCCATCAATGCATCTTCGTAATGTAAGTTCGGATATACAATTCGAAGAACCCGTTTTTGTACTCGTTCAATTTCATCACTCAAGTATTTAGGTAAAGAGTAGTGGAAAACAGTGGAAGCGTATTCCAGAATGGGGCGGATACATACGGTATAGAATTGTAAAACATCTTGAATTGCGACTTTTGCTCGTTTCAGCTGCACTAAAAGGTAAATCCTTTTGGAACTTTTTGTCACTATGTTATTGACATGACTATTCCACTTCAAATTGTTCGCGATAGTAAGACCCAGTAATTTTGCTTCTTCCACCACTTGTAAAGGTTTACCATTAATTTTAATAAAAGGAAAGGGATTTCTATTTTTCGCAAAGTCTATCCGCAATTCTTTGCATTTGTTTTCATTCAATCTGAAAAGGTTTGACTCGGACCACTCTTCAATTTCGGACACTGCATGTTGGATATCACTTGAACCAGATCTGGTTACTGTTTCATATACCGTTAGATCGTCTACGAATTTTACCTCGTCTAAACAACGTGTTTTTAGATCGTTTATCATCAATATAAATAACCACGGACCCAGCTTGGTTCCTTGAGGGACACCAGCTGGGACATTCCCCCACTCTGAAAAACAGTCGTGTCCCAATTTGGTTCGTTGTTGTCTGTCACTCAGGAAATCTGCAATCCAACTAACAGTGGAATCAGGGATTTCGAGGGATTTCAGTTTAGATAGGACGATGGTGTGGTCTACATAATCGAAAGCTTTTTGGTAATCAACCAAAACAATCCTTACTGAGGCTCTAGCACCGTCTGTTTTCTCCGACCATTTATGAATCATTTTAATAAGCGCCTGGTTTGTGGACGAGCCGGGAATAACAACATATTGATTTACATCTAAAACTTTAAGGATTGCGGGTTTTAAATGCTTAATAACCACGAATTCCTCGGCGACTTTAGAAAGTAGAGGAGTTAACGAAATGGGTCTAAGATGTTGGTTAATGTCATGAGCTGGCGTCACCTTTGGGACTGGGATGATATTTGCTTGCTTCCAAATTGGGGGTAGTTTGTTTTCAGTGTAGAAACTGTTTATGATTTTCATCACTGGTAATGACAAAATCATTGCATATTCTTTAAGAACCCAAGACGGGATATTATCAGGCCCACCTGACTTCCAGGGATTGAGTGAGTTTAAACAATTCCAGACGTCCAGTTCAGACACTGTGAGGACATTTGAAATGGAGTCGTTGTTTGGTACTGTGATTTGCAACGGTTGAAACTCTTGGAGTGGTTCCAGAAATTTGTCATTAATTTT